GAGGCTGAGGCAAAAGAATTGCTTGAGCCCAAGAGTTTGAAGTTGCTGTGAACTGTGACATCACAGCACTCTACCGAGGGCGACAAATGAGACTCTGTCTCAAAAAAAAAAAAAAAAGTTTCTATTTTGTTACTGAAATTCCCTAAAGGAATTTTCTTTTGGTGAGGCCATCATCTTGCTTGGCCGCCAGCCAGTTCTGAGAGGACTGGGGAGTCGATCTGGATGCCACCCTTCCTGCAGGTCTTCCAGTGAGGGGGTGGGGAGGCTTCTAAGTGTTTTATGGGATGCAATTTCCCAGTTAGATGTGAAGTGAGAAATGCAACCATGACCTTGAATTCAGCTTCTTTCTTGGTTAAAAGCATATCCCCCTGGATGAAGGCTCAACTATAACTTGAACATAATTTACCTTAGAATTGAAAACATGTAACCTAAGCATTTGTACTCTTGTATTAATTTGAAATTTTTTTTAAAAAAGGAAAAAAAGACAAACTGGCAAGCTGTTAGGGAATGACATAGAAAACAATATGGGGGGGGAGAGTGAAGGGAGGGAGTTTGGAGGGATCACTTCTGAGGTTTATCTTACAGGGGTACAAGTGAATCTTTCTAAGAGTAGAATATGAACGTTTTAAAACAATAATTGAGAAAATGACATGAAGGCTGTGTTGACCAGTTTGATGGAAGTATTTTGGATTGCATGTGAAAACCCCACACTGTACCCCAGAAATGCATTAATGTACATAGTTACCATTCAATAAAAAAACAAACAAACAAAAAAAACAATATGGGAATTAGTTTTAGTTTCAAAAGAACAGCAAGGGGGCAGTGCCTGTGGCTCAAAGGAGTAAGGCACCTGCCCCATATGCCAGAGGTGGTGGGTTCAAACCCAGGCCTGGCCAAAAACTACAAAAGAACAGCAAGACTTATTCAAGTAAAATATTTATATTAATATCATGCAACTGCCACATTTTATCTGTGTGACCAGTAGCACGTTCTAAACAGCAGCTGCTGGAGAAATACACAAAAGAAATGTATCAGGCCCAGGGAAAACATAATTTTTGTATTCCAGCTATTAAGGTTTTTTTTCTCTCAGGCCTCACATTTCCCCCCAACTCTCATAGGATATGACGTTTTCACATGCTTTGCAAATTCATAGTTAAATCGGGCACCTTTTTGACCTGGCTAAACCTGTACGGACATCTGAACTGCTTTGAAAGGTAGAACCACACATTGTTGGCATTATCATCATGATTTTTTAAAGTATCAGTTTCAAATTACTGTATATGAAATTAAATTACAATAGCAATTAAAAAAAAGGAGCATGGTTCTAGTTGGGCACCTACTTGTTATCATTTCCTCGAGATGCACCACAGTAAGTACAGCAGGAGTGTCGACTGTGGCTGTTACCCACTTCCTAATCACAATGACAATTTCATTGCAACGACAGCTAAAGCAAATTCCAGGACGGGCAGTTTCTGCAGAAATACTCAATATTTACTAATTTGATTAAGAAGTCAGAGTTCTATGAGATTTGAAGAAAATATCACCACTACACACTACATTTTCAAATAAGCAGGGGGGGAGAGGTGAAAAGTTAATTTAAAAGTTCAAAAAGTGAACTGTTGCTAAGTCTTTCTTAAGAGTGGATCCATTTTAAGGAATCAGAAACTCATTTCCCCTCTAATTAAACATCACATACAAAGCCATAAAAATATAACACTGATGATTTAGAATATTAAGATGGTAAAAGTGAATCTGTGCAAAAGGCCCTGAACACATTCAGCCAACTACAAACTCAGAAAGCAAAGAACAAAGAGTAAAGGGTTGTTTTCTGGCCTAGGAAGTCTCAGTTTGGAAAAGCGACTCATTTTGTTGAACGTCTATGTAGGTCAGAAAGTCATTCAACCAAGGCTGACGATCTCTCAGGACCCCCCAGGGGAAGAGCAGCTTTTCTGCTCATGACAGCTGTCACATACATCCTGTCAATAACAAGTACAACTAAACCCAACTTTAAAATCGGTTTTATTTGGCATAATAGGGGAGAGACTGAATCTCACTGGAGGTAAAAAAGGTTAGGACAAGTGGAGTCAGAGGTATTTCTACTGGAAAACATTTCTCTAAAGCAGAATTAGAGTTTTGCTAATTTAAGAGATGCCTTAAATAATGAGGAAATAAACATATTTGGATTCAATTAGAGAGAGAAATTCCTTTGCCCTAGAACTAGATTACCTTTCTTTCCTGCACTGTTGGTGGGAATTTAAGCTAATACATTCCTTTGGGAAAGAAGTTTGGAGAACACTTAGGGAACTAAAAGTAGACCTGCCATTCGATCCTGCAATTCTTCTACTATATATACAGATGACCAAAAATCATTTTACAACAAAGATATCTGCACCAGAATGTTCGTTGCAGCCCAATTCATGACTGCCAAGTCATGGAAGAAGCCCAAGTGCCCACTGACCCATGAATGGATTAATAAACTGTGTATATGTACAGCATGGAATATTTTGCAGCCTTAAAAAAGATAGAGACTTTACTTCTTTTATATCTACATGGATGGAACTGGAACATATTCTTCTTAGTAAAGTATCTCAAGAATGGAAGAAAAAGTATTCAATGTACTCAGTACTGTTCTAAAACCAATATATAATCACCTGTACTTCCACATGAAAGATAAAACACTATTTGGCAGTGCCTGTGGCT